TGTTTGAACATCTGGCGCATTCCCATTCAACTTTAGTATTGTGCTGTTTTTCCTTTATGCAATTAAAAGGATTTAGATCAAATCTAGAGCAGTTAGTCGAAAAATAACAAGTTGTAGTGCAGAATTAGCTACAAACGATAATTAATAAAGAAAGTCAATCAGTATTATTGAAGCGTGTTTTCAGTAAATCTTGTTAATTCTTCACGAAGCGCTATACTAGAGAAAGTAGTTATTGCTCAAGAAATGTATTAATATACTACATAATTTTTACTTGTTTTCAGACTTAAACCTGCTGTACTTTTTGCTAGTTTTCAATGAATATGCGTTTCATTATTTCTTCATACTGCGATAAATCATCATCGTAAATGTTGCCATTCTCACATCTTCCAATAAATTAAGGTTTCAAACATAATCACATAACTTAATGGACTAAAAAATTAACCAACTAATGCAAATGGTATCCAAGCTACTTAGGTCATACCAAAAGTAGTTACGGAGATACTGTAATTCCTTATAGAAAGCTTTAAGAAACTTTCTCTCTATGCAATCTGATAGAGAAGGAAATGCTCTATTTTTCTATGCTATTTGATCATACTTCAATTAATATTATAATAATAAACTTTCTATTGGATTTGTTTCGTTATCCTTTTTGCTGGTAGTAAGTTTGTATTGAAATTTTCAATTCCTTGATACGTTGTATTAAAAAGCAAAATATACTATAAGATGCAACGTGAAAAGCTCTACAATTTACATAAGATCACTTCTTTTATAATTCAACTTTTTGCTTTCAAAATGGTCAAAATTTTGAGTGACAGACTTTCGCTATTGCAAAAATCAGTCGGACAGAATTTTGCTGTTTTTTTGAAAACAATCAAAATTTTGGCCACTTTGAAAGCAAAAAGTTCAACTAGAAAAGAAGCAGTCTTGTGTAAATTGTAGAGCTTTTCACGCTCAGCTTATGGTATACTTTGCTTTTTTAATACAACGTATCAAGGAATTGAAAATTTCAATACAAATTTACTATGAGCAAATAGGATAGCGAAACAAATCTAATAGAAAGTTTATTATTATAATATTAATTGAAGTATGATCAAATAGCATAGAAAAATAGCGCATTTCCTTCTCTATCAGGCTGTATAGAGAGAAAGTTTCTTAAAACTTTCTATAAGGAATTATAGTATCTCCGTAACTACTTTTGGTATGACCTAAGTATTAATATACTTGATTATAGTAATAATTATGTGTCATTTTATACAAATTTTAAAGTAGTAACAACTTATTTTTATCTCAACATTCGAAAACTACTTTTAAATCGTGTTTCACAAAAATTTACTTCAAAAATCAACATTATTTTGTATTAATATTGCCGATAGTTCATTGGCAGAAGGTTTTTTTATTGGATTATTTATTTTGTTTTTGTATCTGCTAACTGTTTTACTGGTTAGAATCATAAAATTCTCTGCGTCGTGGATGACAATTATACAAATATAGATCCAAATGAAATTAGCAAAACATTCAGAAAATATCGAAAAAGAAGAGATAATCCAACCATGAAGTATCTCTAGAATGAAATAGTGTTTAAATCATTCTTGTGACTAATGCTTAAAAGAAACCAAATAAGTCCGATACGAAAAGAATAATGAGAATAGTAATGAAGACTATTGTCCATGAGTATATATATATATGATTGAAGTAAAAGGTATTTCACTCGTACTTTATTCTAGCATTTATTTTCGTAGAAGAGAACGTACAGTTTAAATTTAAAATGAATTTTATAATTGAAAGAAAAATGTCAATTTTTAAATCTTATATTCATGTACTAAATGAGACATAGAAAAACAAAAATTCTAGGGCTAGTTTTCCATTTTCTCGTTCAACTTTTCTTGTTGTGCTAAAGGCTACCGACAATGTCTCAAATAGTATCAAAGAAAAGAAACAAGGCATCCACTAATAATTTGTATGAATCAAAAAAACAAATTGACCTTATTTTATATGCTGAAATAAGTAATTTTACTGTTTGTATAGTTGTTTTCTCGTTTCTAACGAAGTTTAATATTCCCTAAGAAAAGAAAGAATATATAGTGTTGTTTTCTTTGCTGTATTTTCTTCTCAATAGAAAATCGGAAATCAAATACGAAGAGAAGGAGAAAAGAAAAAGAAAGGTAAGAAAAGCTTTCATTCTGTTGTTACTCACGGTTGAATACGGGTGTAATTTTTTTTTTTTTGCTTAATCGACATTTTTGAAATAATTAAATAGTTTCAATAACTATTTTCCTATTACACTTAACGTACTGTATGAAAATCATGACTTTTAAAGGTATGTTAAAAATTTTGGTAAATGATTATAAAAAACAATATGTAAGTTAAATTGTTATATAGATTATCTGTTTAATATTATAAGAGAAAATATTTAATTTAAGGACGAAAAAATGTTTTCTATTGCTGATGAACTCATAAGAACACGTCGTGAATTACGAGAAGTTAAAGAACAACTTCATACTGTAAGTTAATTTAAAAAAATATTATATATATATATATCATTTAATAAAATGACAATTTTCAAAGCAGTTACAATTAGGTTCGAGTTCATCATCATCTGATATAGAAATTCTTGCCGTACCTACTATAAGTCTATTTATTCAATATAAAGGATTTTTTAATGAATTATGTGATATTCGTCAAACAATGACTGTTAAAGAATTATTGGTATGTATATATATATATTATGTGAAAATTATATTTATATTTATCTAGATATATTCTTTATATGTAATAGAATAAACTTCGTCCTATCACAGGAATACCTTTTAATCATCCAATACGTCTTCGTGTACTTAGTGAAGATGGTTTAACAACATTATTTTTTCTTGATGATGAACTTGATCGTACATTAGAATCATATGATGATGATTTAAAACCACGAATGATTTTAAGTATTGAACATAATGATGATATTGATTGTAAAAGAAATTCTCGTCAACGATCAAAAAGTTTAGAAAGTACTAAACGAACGTATTCATATGAATCTGATGTTTAAAAAATAAATAAATAAAGTTCTTTCTTTTATTTTTATTTTTATTTTTTTGTATTTTATTCAAACATCTGTCACAAATGCGAGCACATGTGTGAATAATCTATGTCGTGCTTTATTTCATAATTTAATCTTTTACTTTGTTGCTTTTTAAATATTGATTTTAACAATATATAAATATATATGTATAATTTCTATTATCTAGAAATCTACCATAATAAATGGTAATATAAAATCTAGTGTTTTGATTACATAGAGAATTTATAACAGCATAAAATTCATCTACAAAAGATTTATGGTTGGTATCAATGCAAAAGTGTTTTTTTCTTCTTTTTCTCGATTCTGTGATTATTGACATTTCGTTTTTGAGAAATAAGATACAATGTAAAAGAATATTTTTACCTAGATGAAAACACTAAAAAGCAAAAGCTAATGAATAGAAAATATTAGAAATCTTATATATATATATACTTATGGTGAATGTCATGCGATGTTATTTGAATGTAGAATTCTAGCAAAGTAGATAGTTCGATTAAGTATGTCATGTGTACGAACAAATCTCTATTTTTTTTTAAATTTGATTTACGATGAGTGTTGAAGTAGACGGATGAAAATGTAGACGCCCTTCTCCTCCCCCACGGAGTATGATAGATATAACCTTGGGAATATTACAGACTATATACCAATAACGTCTCGTTGTAATATAAGAACTACTTCCGTATTATATTTGTGAAGGATTAAGTACAATGATGGTGAAGAACTATGTCCCCAAAAAAAAAGATATAGAATAAAACAATCTCTCTGTGATTACTAACAACAGTTACATGATCTTTTATATTTTAATCCAGCAGAGATTTCGAGAACAATATATGTCATTTATAAAATCAACAATTGTGAATGTTTAATTATTTGTTCATTAATAAAAATATCTTTTGCACATAAAAAAAAAACTACACTAGGAAAAATAATTTAATTTTAGTATAATTTTTTTTTTTTTTCATTTACCACTTGAACAAATATTCAAGATATATTGTATAATCTAACTTGTTTTCTTTTTATTTTTTGTAAATCTATTTCAAGTACTTAATGATTTACTTTCACAAGTTATGTCAACTTTATTTTTAAGGTCATATATTAATTACACGTTAAGTGTTTGACAATTATCATAGTTAATCCTTTGAGCTTAACAGATACCTTAGATAATGATATAAACACTTATATAAAAATATGATTGTGTAATACTTTCTTTTTTGTTTTTTTTTACGTTGCAATTAGATAATTGAAATCTATTTCATACTAATGAAAATCTATATTGAACTTTTTTTTATGAAGAAACAAAAAGAAATAGAACGAACTTAAAATAATACAAAAAAAAAAGAAAACAAAATGTTCATAGTAAATTGAAATAGAAAAAGAAAGTATCAAGCAATTACCAATGCAAACATAAGAGAGTAAAAAAAAAATAATTTGATTTTTGATTACGTATGACTTCTTTTTTTCAATTTCACTATTTCCTTTTTTTTTTCAAATAAATTTAAGTGTTCTCGCCATTAAATTGAATGATAAAAACTTCTTTTTTTTTTTTCGTTTTCTTCTTTAAATACATATCGTTCATATTTCTTTCCTTGTATACCATATGCATATATAACTTAAGATGTTAACTCATATGATATTGCTCATTTGTCAATGATTAAATGATCATTGACAAGTTTCAATACATATATATTGAGGTGTATATTCGCCTACTCCTATCTGATTTTGTTTCTTCTTCATTTCTTTTATTTGCTCAGAAGCGCGAGTCTCTCTTCTCTTTTCTTTGCGTTCGTTCGCGGCAGCGATAAAGACGGCGACGACTACTATTGATTGATTGTGAAATTTGTTGTATATGTTCTGTTCTTTCTCTCTCTTTCTCGTTTCTTTTTTTTTTTTTTTTTTACTTTTTTAGTAAAATAACTCGCGATGCGCCAGTATGGACCTTCGAGTGTATGTTGATGGTGTTGCACGTATCATCTGTGATTTAACTCGAAAAACTACTGTACATGATATTATCATAGCACTTGCTCAATATAAAGGTAAAGCAGGTAGATATTCATTAATTCAATGTTCACCAGATGGTATTCAAAGAACATTATCACCAAATGAATTAACATGTGAACTTATTCATCATCCTGATTGGATTTATATATTACAACAAAATCCATCAAATATAAATTTATCATATGTTCAAAAACGTTCAAAAAGTTTAGATGGACGAAAAACACCAATCGAACAACAAAAACAACAACAGACAACTGTTGACAGTATGTGAATAAATTTTATTGTTGTAGAGATGTAGACAACATATTAACCATGAATATGTATATTTAAAAATGACCTTGTACAATAATATGATTCAGTAAAGGACCATATTTTTCTAGTACAACAAGCAAATATAATTACATATATATATATACCTTTTTTTATTCTGTAAAGTAAAAGAATCATTGATTCTATTGAAAAACTCTACATTATTCATTTACTTTTCTCATATAAAAGCTCAAGGCAGTATTATTTTTATAATCCATTGATATACTTTTTTTTTTTTCGATAAAATAAGTAGTATCATGAACATGTAATCATATGTCTAAATATATATGCAGATCACTTAGCATCGAACAATATACATAGACAGTATTTCGTTTTATTGTTTGAATAACACGTTCAAGACAAAAGAAGAAGAATGAAGTTAAAATCAAGCATCTCAAGTCTAATCGGCTTGGTGCTTGCATGTCCATTATAAAGATTAGTCTTACATACAAAAATCTATTGTTGCTTAGTACTCTTTAAAAAAAAACAAACATGATGTAATAGTTCAAGACATATATATATATATACCGAACGATAGAATACATTGAATATTTCATCATGCAATAAGTAAAATGTAACTTAAGTTCTTTCATTTTCTTTTCAATCAATAAAAAAAAAAAAAGTCACTGACTAAAGAAGACAATAATGTATACCTTGACACATATGTCTAACATATATGTATATATATATATAGTTACTATATACAATGTAAAGTTTAAAACAAGCAAAGATAAAGATAATAGAGAAGGTTAATGACATCCGATGACGAAAGTAAATAATTGTATCAAAATGAACAAAAATCAATTATATTTTGTATTTTAAAAACAATATTATTACTTTTTTGTTTTGTCATAGTTGTTTCACCATTAAATTCCTCATCTGGTTATTTTCGAACAATAGCAAATAATAATAGTTATGTTAGTTCTACAACATTATCATCTTCAAATAAAAAACGTTCAAATTTACATCAAATATTTCCATCCACAAATAAAAATAATAGCAATAATACAATTCATTCGAATGAATCATTATCATCACCTATTATACATAAACGTTTATCACGTACACCTATACAAAATTCATTAGATAATCATCATACTATTAATCATACAAGAGCAAAATCTGCTGTACCATCATCTATGCATGATAATAGTGCATTTCATATTGTTCATCAATCAAATAATAATAATCATATAAATACTCAACAACAACAACAACAATATATTGCTTTATTACAAGTACTTAAATCACAAGAAATTCAAATTGAACAACAAAAAAATGAATTAAGTGAAAAACAAAAAGGTAAATAAGAAAAGTTTTGTCTAAAAAAAAACAAATATTTTCTATTAAATAAAATTTGGTTTTTCTTTTTTTTTTTTAATATAGAAATTGAATATTATGATGTAATTCTTCATCAAGGACAAATATATCAAGATAATATTCAACATGAAATACAAATACTTGAAGAACGTGAACGACGTCTTTTTTCTGAATGTCAAACATTAACACAAGAATATTCACCAGATAAATTAGATTTTGAATTAGATTATCATAAAAAATTAAATTCAAATTATGAACATATACAACAACAATTAACACGTTCTTCATCAACATTAGAACAAAAAAAACAATTACAAGAACAACTTCAATATAATATTAATCAAACACATGAAGATATTGAAAAAATACAACGAAATATTAATAATGATAAAAAGGTTTGAAAAACAATATTATATTAGATTTGTAGTTATATTTATTTTTATAAACATAAATAAAAAAAATATTTTACTAGAAAATATTAATCTCAGTATTCTACTAATGATTTGTTATGATGTCGCTCTCCCTCTCAGAGATGTCCATCGCGGCTGAAACTCTGCCGCTGCCGCGCCGTGGCATTGGAAAAAAAAGTCACCGAGCCGCGATGGTTTTCAAAAAAGTGTTTCGATTTTCACTGCTGCAACTGTATTGGACCAGAAATATTGGTACTAGTCCATCAGATTCATTCAGTCTCGGGGTGTTTCATTTGTAAACAATGAAATTCTATTAAATTCATGCAGTTTTTCAATGT